GAAGCCGAATATATAGAGAGTAATGAAATCACAACTGCTATATCTAAAGGTAGCTAATAAATAGTAGATGAGACAACAATAAAAAGAACACCAGGAATTAACGAGGTTCGGCAAACTTTTGTTTTCTTTTGCCTACTCCTCGGACACAACCAACCAATATTTATTTCACTCCAAAAGAGTACAAGTGAAATACTACAAGAGAGAAAGAAGATCAAATGCCTTTGAAGATGAGAAGGCAAGTGAGAGGTGTGTCACAAATGAATTAGGAACTACCTATTTATAGGAGTGAATTCTTCCTATTGATGTCATCCATGACATCACAATGTGTCAAAATGTCAAGATTTACCTTGTGAAACCATTTTATGGTTCACCTAAATTTCACCTACAAAAGATGTTATCTTGACTTTTGTACCAATGAAGAATTATCTTCCTAACTACCAAATCTTCACATTTTGAATCTTGTCAAATTTAACAATAACATGAGACATATGATATATTTTTATTAATATTAAAATGTCACACTATTATTATATCATTCATATCACATGGCTCTTTAACATAAAATATGTACACTATGGGCTAAATGTCAGTATCAACTAGCACAAGCTTTATTTTTAAACTTAGAACTGATCTTCAAAAATGAGCAATTTAATTATAATAATTAGGTTAATTAGTAAACAAATGCAACAAGATTAGACAACAAATCTTCGTGATTCCATTAACAACTCAACATACATGTGCGAAAATCGACGAGAAAAGACTTATTTATGCCATGTCGATCAAAATAGTAGAAGAAAAGTATAATCGGAAAACATTCTGGTAGCCCAAGATCGTTAACTAAGATCAGTAGATTCAACTAAAGAAGAGGAAACTAGAAAGGAGAAGGAAGAGTTTGGAAGACTTAGCTATGTACAAGATCATTCCGTGTTTATACTTAGCTATATATACTAGATACAACAAGATCTAAACTATTTTATGATTTTCTACAATATGTTTATCCTAGATACTACACTAGACTATTCTATGATATTCTAAAAAATTCAACTTTAACTTTTTCACATGTTATTAGTCAAAAGTTTGACTCAGTTATGTTATTTTTGTTTGAGATATGAACATAAATGCACACATAATATATAAAAACCATAAAATTTTATGTATGTGAATATTTTAAACATTCTATATTAGCCTAAACTTAATTAAATAAAAAACAAGCTGTCCAGGGATTTGCATAATTGCATTGAAGCTTCATGATAGGACAAAACTACTGACTGAAATTATTATTATTTCATTCATATCACATGGAATATTATCAATTAGCAGAAGCATTATTTTTAATTAATTTAGGTGATGTGCAAATTAATTTGTATATATGTGTATCTTTAACTTTGACAAGGTAGATTTAACTTAAAATCTGAGATTTAGACAAAAGCATAAGAAAAATGGGAGTGATGAAGATCAACACAAATGAAGCAGAGTATGAAAGAATGGCTGAACTACAAGCCTTTGATAAGACGAAAGCCGGTGTTAAGGGACTAGTCGATGCAGGTATAACCAAAGTACCAAGAATGTTTGTACAACCATCAAAGATTGAAGATTTGAGAAGTCACAACAACAACAAGTTCATCAAGTTTCCAATAATTGATCTTGATGGCATCATGGAAGATCCGATCAAACGAAAGAACATAGTCCAAGAAGTTGGCCATGCATCCGAGAGTTGGGGTTTCTTTCAAGTGATCAATCATGGGATTCCTAGTCATGTTATGGATGCAATGAAAGACGGTGTTACCAGGTTCTTTGAGCAAGATACTGAGGTGAAGAGGCAGTGGTATACGCGAGACTTGACAAAAGAGTTCACATTTAACAGCAATTTTGATCTGTTTAGAGCACCAGTAACCAACTGGAGGGACACTTTTCGTGCCACTATAGCTCCTATACCTCCAAAGCCCGAACAACTTCCTTCTGTCTGCAGGTATTATGGTCAAACAAACAACATCGTTATAGAGAGGTTTGAATATTGTATTGTATTTTAATTTGCTTATTGTGCATTTGTGATAGGGATATTCTCCTTGAGTACACGAACCAAGTGATGACATTAGGTGACACTCTATTTGAACTAGTGTCCGAGGCTATTGGCCTAGAACCAAATCACCTCAAGGATATGGGTTGTGCAGAGGGGCTTCTTGCTATAGGCCAATATTATCCAGCATGTCCACAACCTGAACTTACTCTAGGCACCAGTAAGCATGCTGACAACGACTTCCTCACCGTGCTTCTCCAAGACAACATAGGCGGTCTCCAAGTCCTACATCAGAACCATTGGGTAGATGTTCCCCCTACTCCCGGAGCACTCGTGGTCAATATAGGAGATCTTCTACAGGCAA